CCCCGTTCCCTGCCATGACTCATCCCCCATCCCCCCCCTTGGCCATGGGGGCTGATGAGGGGTCATGTTGGGTGTCCTCCCCCAGGTGTACCCCGAGGCACCACTGCAACTTTACCCCACACCCCCCCTGGGGGTCCTGGCACTGTCCCACCCGGCCCTCGCCCGCACCCAGTCGTCCCCCGCCAGCGTCAAGCCCCCTGTGCCCGAGGGGCCCCCCAAGCACCTCTTCACCACAGGTACAGGGGCAACGGGGGGCGGGGTCCCTCTGTCCCCTGAGGTCCCTCTGTCCCTTGGGGTCCCACAACCCTCAGGGTGCTCCTGTCCCATGAGGTGTCACCTGTCCCATGGGATCCCCCTGGCCCTGTGTCCCATGGGTGCCCCATCCCTTGGTAGACCCCTACCCCAAGTGTCCCATTCCTTGATGCGGTTGGGGGTGACCCTGTCCAATGGGGTTCCCAGTCTCTCAGGGTGTTTGGGGTCCCCCTATCCCCAGGGGATGGGGATGTTCCCCACCCTTCGGGGTGCCTGTGTGCCATGGGCCCCTCTCCCAGATGGTTTCCCATCCCTCAAGGTGTCTGGGATTCTCCCTGTCCCCTGGGGTTCCTAATACCTCAGGGTGCCCAGGTGTCCCTATATCCCATGGAATCCTCCTGTTCTGGGGTTCCCAATTGCTTGGGGTACCCGTGGGCTTTCCCTGTCCCTTGGGGTTCCTATTCCCTTGGGTTGCCCAGGGATCCTCCTATTCCACAGATTCCCCCTGTCCCTTGGGGTTCCCAATTGCTCAGGGTGCCCAAGGGCCCCCATATCCTATGGGATCCCCCTTATTCCATAGGTTCCCTCTGCCCTTTGGGGTTCCCAATCCCTTCGGGTGCCCAGAGTTTCCCTGTTCTACAGATTCCCTGTCCCTTGGGATTCCTAATTGCTCAGAGTGCCTAGGGGTCCTCCTATTCCACAGATTCTCCCTGTCCCCTGGGTTGCCCAATCCCTTGGGGTGCCCAGGGTTCCCCTATTCCACAGATTCCTCCTGTCGCCTGGGGTTCCCAATCCCTTGGGGTGCCCAGGGTTCCCGTATTCCATGGGCTTCCCCTGTCCCCTGGGTTGCCCAATCCCTTGGCGTGCCCAGGAGTCCTTCTGTTCCACAGATTCCCTGTCCCTTGGGATTCCCAGTTGCTCAGGGTGCTCAGGGGTCCTCCTATTCCACAGATTCCCCCCGTTCCCTGGGGTTCCCAGTCCCCCGGGGTGCCCAGGGGACCCCCAATCCCATGGGATCCCTCCATCCCCTGGGGTGCCCATGTCCCTCAGTGCCCCAGCCCTGGGGGGGTGCCAGGGTCCAGTGCCAGGTGTGCTGCTGGCACAGGTGTGGTGTACGACACGTTCATGCTGAAGCACCAGTGCACCTGCGGGAACACCACAATCCACCCAGAGCACGCCGGCCGCATCCAGAGCATCTGGTCCCGGCTCCAGGAGACCGGCCTGCTTGGAAAGTGTGAGGTGAGGGGAGCACCCCGTGTCCTGGGGGGGAGCTGGGGTTGGCTTGGGGAGAGGGGGGCTCACCCCTGTGCCCCCTTTGCCAGCGGATCCGGGGCAGGAAGGCGACGCTGGAGGAGATCCAGACAGTGCACTCAGAGCACCATGCACTGCTCTATGGCACCAGCCCCCTCAACCGTCAGAAACTGGACAGCAAGAAGCTGCTGGGTGGGTGTTGGGGGGGCCCTGGATGCCTGGGACCCCCCTCTTTTGGAGCTGGGGTCACCCTGTACCCCCTATTCCTTTGGATCTGTTCCCTGGGGTGCCCTGTCCCTTTAGATGTCCAGGAGAGCCCGTGTCCTCTGGGGTGTCCTTATGCCATGGGATGCCCCAACCCTTAGGTGTCCCAGGAGTCCCCAGTCCCATGGGATTCTTCTGTCCCTTGGGGTTCCCAATCCTTTGGAGTGGCTGGAGTTCCCCTCATCCTATGGGTTTCTCTTGTTCCCTGGGGTTTTCAGTCCTTCTGGGGAGCTCAGAGGTCCCCGTATCCCATGGGATCCCCCTGTCCTATGGGGTTCCCAATCATTTGGGGTGCTCAGAGGTCCCCCTGTCCCATAGGATCCCCAGGAGTCCCCCTATCCCATGGGATCCCTCTGTCCTCTGGGGTTCCCCATTGTTTGGGGTGCTCAGAGGTCCCACTAACCCATGGAATTCTCCTGTCCCCTGGGGTTCCTAATGCTTTGGGCTGCCCATGGGATTCCTCAGTGCCATGGGATCCCCCAGTCCCATGAGATCCCTCTGTTCCCTGGGGTTCCCAATCCTTTGGAGTGCCCAGGGGTCCCCCTGTCCCATGGGATCTTCCCATCCTCTGGGGTTCCCAATCCTTTGGGGTTCTCAGGGGTCCCTCTATCCCATGGAATGCTCCTGTCCCCGGGGATTTCTAATTCTTTGGACTGCCCGTGGGATTCCTCATTGCCATGGGATCCCCTAGTCCCATGAGATCCCTCTGTCCCATGGGGTTCCCAGTCCTTTGGGGTGCCCAGGGGTGCCCCTATCCCATGGGATATCCCTGTCCCCTCCAGTTCCCAATCCTTTGAGGTGCCCAGGGGTGCCTCTATCCCCTGGGATACCCCTATACCCGCTGTCCCCACCACACCGCTCCACCCCTCAGGTCCCATCACGCAGAAGACATACGCAGTGCTGCCATGCGGGGGAATCGGGGTGAGTCTGGGGGCGCGGGGGTGGCTTCCGGGGTGGGCTGGCCCCGCTGACCCCCAGTGTCCCCCCCTCAGGTGGACAGTGACACGGTGTGGAATGAGCTGCACTCATCGAGCGCGGTGCGCACGGCCGTGGGCTGCCTGCTCGAGCTGGCCTTCAAGGTGGCTGCAGGCGAGCTCAAGGTGAGCGTGGTCTTGCACACTTACCTGGGCTGTGACAGTCCCTGTGCACACTCGTGTGCATGTGTGTTGCCTTGCACACTCACCTGGGGTGTGATAGTCCCTGTGCACACTCCTGTATGTGTGTGTGTGCGCTGCCTTCACGGTCATCTGAGATGTGACAGTCCTTGTACGTACTCGTGTGTATGTATGCTCCTTGCACACTCACCTGGGCTGTGACAGTCCCTGTGCACACTCAACTGAGGTGTGACAGTCCTTGTGCAAGCTTGTGTGTGTGGTCTTGCACACTCACCTGGGCTGTGACACTCATGTGCACGTGTGTGCTCCTTGCACACTCACTTGGGGTGTGACAGTCCCTGTGCACACTCCTCCGTGTGTGTGTGTGTTGCGTCACGCACTCATCTGAGGTGTGACAGTCCCTGTGCACACTCGTGTGCGTGTGTTGCCTTCTTGCACACTCCCCTGGGGCGAGATGGTCCTTGTGCAAGGCTGAGCACGCATGTGCTGTTCTCTTGCACACTCCCCTGAGTGCAGGGCTCCTTGTGCCAGCTCGT